GGGAAAGACTTCGTGAGCAGTTGACAACAGAGTGCTCAGAAGACAGAAGCCTCTATTCTCACCTTTCTGGGCCTGATCCAGGCCCCTCATCCACAAAGTCCCACCTGGGGCTACAGCTGGAGATGCTGCAATATTCCAGCACAGCCTAGGTTGGGATTGGGCTGAATGCAGAGCACCAGAAATTTGTGTCTGAAATCAGCAGTCAGTTGAGATCCTTTCCCTGGGAGGTGGTATTTGAGATGCAGTGGGTCAAGGAAATACGTTAACAAAAAGTTCGGGGCAAATCAGGATTGCAACAGTGAAGGGAGAAATTGACTCCAGAATGACTGACTTTGCCTGGCTTTGTTCAATTTGCTCTTTTACCAAAACCAAATATCCTGCTCGAATAACTGAACAGACTCATCATTCCCAACAGGATGCAATCCAAACTGCGTGGCGGGGGCACTCAAGAACCTTCCCTATCGAGTCCCAACTCACCCTTTCTGCCTCTTCTCCCATCTTATTTCCAGTCTCATTCCCAGCCAGAGAATTCCACACAGTTCCCTAAATAATCCATGTTTTTTCCCACCTCCATGCCTTTGTATATGCCACGCTTTCTACCTATGGTATGTCAACAGATGTCACAGCTAGATGACACCAATCCCATTTGAGAACATGGATTTCCTCTTCCAGTCCCAAGACTCTTCCAAGAAGTCCCGGAGGAGAGAGAATCTTGGCTGCCTTTTTGGAATTGCAACTAAACACACAAAGAAACAAATCAAGGAACATCCGGTGGAAGCATTGAGAGTTAGGGCATTAAGTGGGTCCCCAAAAGCATTATAGGAAAACCAAACCACAGGGCTGCATATCAATGTGGTTTGGAAAATCTTGCATTACTATGAAGCTAATTTAAGGATGATACAAAAATGTGCTCCGCTTACAGGATTTGCTGTGTTGATGTTTGCTGAAGTCTGACAACAGGACTAAAAATCATTGTCAGGGGAACTTCTGCAACTTGTTCAGGGAGTTAGCCAGGGTGAGGAAGCCTCCTCGGGGGCATTTTGAACATGTCATTTTCATCACAGGTTTCAGTGTGTACAGAGTAAGATTCAGAGCCCTGTTCCTCACAATAACAAAGCATTAGCATGAAATAAGGTGGCCATCAGACCTTGTTTGTCCAGAGACTTCTGGTTTTCACCCAGTGTCCTGACATATTTATCAGTAGTTCCTCTTTTATTATCAAGGGCCCTAGTGTGGAAGATAAATTGTATGCCACTCGAGCACTAGATAACTAAACGAGAACTTGTCTAGCTGGTTGCTTTTCTAAGGCTCTGCCATTGTTGGATGCCAGTCCCTTCTTTCAGACCCAGCCTTTGTCCTCTCCTCTGGGACAGATTAATAGCTCCACCTACACACTCTCAAGGTATTTACCTTCATTTGCTTTTTTATTTTTATTTATTTTATTGAAGTATAGTTGATTTACAGTGCTGTGTTCATTTCTGGTGTACAGCATAGTGATTCAGTTATAAATATATATATTCTTTTTTGTTTTTTTTATTATTGATTATTATAAGTTATTGAATATATTTCCCTGTGTTATACAGTAGGGCCTTGTTTATCTATTCTGTAAATAGTAGTTTGTATCTGTTAATCCCAAACTCCCAATTTATCCCTCCCCACCTTTCCCCTTTGGTAACCTTAAGTTTGTTTTCTATATCTGTGATTCTATTTCTGTTTTGTAAATAAGTTCATTTGTAAGGTTTTTTTGTTTTTTTTTTTTAGATTTCACATTTAAATGATACTATATGACATTTGTCTGTATCTGTCTGACTTCACTTAGTATGATAATCTCCAGGTCCGTCCATATTGCTGCAAATGGCATTATTTCATTCACTTGTTCTCCCACTGGGCATTGGGCCTCCTCACCAAGCCCCAGGCTGTATTCTGGGTATCAATTTGCACAAGTCTTGGACCCCGTAGGTTGTTAGCAAGAGGTTGTGAAGTGAATTATTTTGCAAAAAAAAAAAAAAATTCCCCAAGAGGTTTTTGTTTTGGTTTACTTTATTTGCCATCATCAAAAGAATAAAAAAGGCTTCCTAAGAACTTGTCTTTATACCTGAACACTGAAAAGTAGATATGAAATACAAAAATCTTCAAAAGGAAAGTCAAAAAATATTTTGGAAAATGACAAGAAGTGCCCAAACATGATTTTTCATTGTTGTTGTTAAATGTTAAATCTGTATCCAGCCTCTTTGATAGTCCTTTAAACTCATAATTTTGAATACTGACTGCATTTGCACTAAAAAGAATCAGACTTCTTTCTTTCTACTCTTCTGTACCCTTCTTAAAAAGTACTTACAACTTTTTCTTCTTTTCCTTGATCTGAGTATGTTTTTTCTTTAGTAAGTATGTATTACTTTTTAACTGGAAAAGCTTTTATTAGAAAAGATACAAACATTGAAACAAAGATCAGTTCTCTAAAAGCTTTGAGAGATCATTTAGACAAATCTTTTAATTCTATGCTCCAAGGAGTGCACATGCAAACTGAGAAACTACCCAGAGTAAACAAATGATCCAACCCAAGCCTCACAGCCAGTATGTGACAAAGTCAATACTTGGACCCAGTTCTCTGCATCCATGTCTCTTGATCCCTGCACAACACCCGTCTAATTCCTCTGGATTGACAAGGGGCCTTTGAGCAGGGGCACTCTGATCTTGTCATACCGGGAGTTAGAATGTGAGTGGCGTGCCTCACCAAACTATGCACAGGCCTAAATTCAAAGGAGTCGAGGAGAAATATTGCACGTGGATTAAGGTGTGCATCGTGAGCTTGGTGCCTATACTGCGCTGCTTTAACAACGGTAGCTCTGTAGTATTGTCTGAAGTCTGGGAGGGTTATGCCTCCAGCTTTGCTTTTTCTTCAGTATTGCTTTGGCAGTTCTGGGTCTTTTGTGATTCCATGTAAATTTTAGGATTATTTATTCCAGTTCTATGAAAAATGCCCTGGGTAATTTGATAGGGATCACATTAAATCTGTAGATTGCTTTGGGTAGTATGGCCATTTTAACAATATTAATTCTTCCAATCTAAGAGCATGGGATACCTTTTGTTTCTTTCAATCATCTTTAATTTCCTTAATCAATAGTTTATAATTCTCAGCATATAAATCTTTCACTTCCTTTCTCAGGTTTATTCCTAAGTATTTTTTTTGACGCAATTTTAAAAGGGATTTTTTTTTAACTTTCATTTTCTAGTATTTCATTGTTAGTGTAAAGAAATGCAGCAGATTTCTGTATGTTAATCTTGTAACCTGCTACCTTGCTGAATTCACGTAACAGCTCCAGTAACTTCTGTGTGGAGTCGTTAGGGTTTTCTCTGTATAGTATCATGTCATCTGTATATAGTGACAGTTTTACCTCTTCTCTTCCAATTTGGATCCTTTTATTTCTTCTTCTGTTCTGATTACAATGGCTAGGATTTCCAGTACTACACTGAACAGAGGTGTTGAGAGTGGGCTTCCTTGTCTTGTTCCAGATTTTCGTGAGAAGGCTTTCACCTTTTCACTGTTGAGTATTATGTTGGGTTTGTCATAAATAGCTTTTATTATCTTTGCATCATGAACTTTGAAATCAGGCAAGTGGGGGTTCAGATCCTGATTTTCCACTTAATGCTGAGTGGCTTTGGTCAAGTTACTTAACCTCTCTGAGGCTTAGGTTACTTAATCTCTCTGAGGCTTAGTCTCCCTATCTCAAATGGGGAGAACAGTATGTTCCGTGTAAGATTTAGTGAGATTTAAATGAACTATGTAAAGCACTCACCAGTTTCTGGAAGTAGTGAACATTCAAAAAATTATAGGCATTAAGATAATTACATTATATCGATATATTAATATTACATATCATATATTACAATATATAATCATAATTTTATATTACAATTGTTATAATTTTTACTACCCTACTCCCTAAGCTTGCACTGAAGGAGAGCTTATCAATTTCAGATAGGGACTCAGCAGATAATTCTTTCTGCCCTAACATTCAGGTGCTAGTCCCACAAACAGCTTGACCTAAGAAACCTGTTTCTGAGGAGGTGGTGACTGACATAGGAATTTTATGTAGAGGAGCCTGTGTGGCTGGTTCCCTGTGTTCCTAGAGTCCTTGATATCACACCTTTTTTTTGTTTTTTGTTTGGCGTGGGCTTTGTAAAACTTCCTGGTGAGTAGTCTCAGTCATCCTTCCTAGCAGTTTGCAAGAATATGTTATGAAGCTGGATATCATAAAACAAAATGTCCTGATGTGTCAGAAAAAGGGAAAAAGAAAGAAAATGGTTCTTCATGTTCATTCATTTGAAATATTGGTGACTAGTTCTTCCTTCTTTAATCTTCCATGGTGACTTTCTTCTCTTCTTTCTCTTTTTCTTTTCTTTCTTTTCTTTTCCCCCCTATCTCTACAGACCTCTGCTTACCATTGAAAATAAAAGCAACTGATATCCTGGCGTCCACCAAAGAAATCCATTCATTCAAGCATTCACCAATTCATCTGATATATATTATTAAATACCCACTGCCTTAGGTACTCTGCCAGGTGTAGACATGTAGGTTACATAAACTGTCTATAGAATATGAACAGAGCTGGGTTTCAATCTCAGCTTCATTGGTTCCTATAGATTTGACGCTGGACGGATTAGTCAC